CTGTCTTTTAACCAGTTATTAATCCATTGAAAAGCCTTTCCCTCTTATCCCATGACAACTTACTTTAAGAGCATTTGGGGAGCGACCTTATCAAAGGCTTTCTGGAAATCTAAGTATACTATATCCACTGGATTCCCCTTGTCCACGTTTGTTGTTCCCCTTAAAGAACTCTAAGAGATTAGTTAGGCATGATTTCCCTTTACAGAAACCATGTTGACTTTCCCCCAACAAATTACGTTCATATACAAGTCTAACAATTTTATTCTTTACTATAGTTTCAACTAAATTTGCCTGGTACTGACGTTAGACTTACCGGTCTATAATTGCCAGGATCACCTCTAGTGCCCTTTTTAAATACTTCAGGATCACCTCTAGTGCCCTTTTTAAATTCTTGTGTTACATTAGCCATCTTCCAGTCACTAGGTACGGAAGCTAATTTAAAGGATAGGTTGCAAACTAAAGTCAATAGTTCCGCTATTTCACATTTGAGTTTTCAGAACTCTTGGGTGAATGCCATCTGGTCCGGGTGACTTGTTACTGTTAAGTTTATCAATTTGTTTCAAAACCTCTTCAAATCTCAAAAACACCTCAATCTAGGACAATTCCTCAGATTTGGGCATCTCTCCAATACTCTCAGCCATGAAGACTAGAGCAAAGTATTCATTTAGCTTCTGTGCAATTACTTTATCATCTTTGAGGGCTCCTTTAACATCTTTATCATCCAAGGGCCCTACTGGTTGTTTAGCAGGCTTCCTGGTTCTGATGTACTTAAATATTTTACGATTAATTTTTGCATTTTTGGCTTCAAACTCCTTTTTGGATTTTCTTATTATATTTTTATACTTAATTTGACCACATTCATGCTAATTATTCACAACATTCTCTGGCAAACAGTTCCACAGGTTGATTGTGTTATGTGAAGAAATACTTCTTTTTGTTTTAGACCTGCTACCTATTAATTTCATTTTGTGCCCCCTAGTTCTTATGTTTTGAGGATTAAATAGCACTTATCTACTTTCTCTACACCAGTCATGATTTTATAGACCGCAATCGTAGCGCCCCGCCCCCCACGACACCTCTTTTCCGGTCTTTCTATATAGCCATTCTATTTTATTCATTGGTTTTGGTGGAATCAGAAAAGATTCAGAAAAATGCAATATATCTTTTCTGAGATAGGGCAACCACATCTGCACATCTTGGGCATACCATGGATTTATATACAGGCAATATGATATTTTCTGTCTAATTATCTATCCTTTTCTTAATGATTCCCAACTTTCTGATCACTTTGTGGATGCTTTCATAAAACTATTCACAATGATTCCAAGATTCTTTTTTGAGTTATAAAAGCTATTTTAAATCCCATCATTTTATAAGTACAGTTGGGATTGTGTTTTCCAATATGCATTACCTTACATTACATTTCATCTGTTATTTTGCTGCAGACTCACCCAGCTGAAAGAGATCATTTCATAGCTCTATGCTGTTTGCCTGGGACTTAAACTCTGAGTACATAAGAATATAACATAAGAACGGCCGTACTGGGTCAGACCAAAGGTCCATCTAGCCCAGTATCCTGTCTACCGACAGTGGCCAGCACCAGGTACCCCAGAGAGGGTTGACCGAAGACAATGATCAAGCGATTTGTCTCCTGCCATCCCTCTCCAGCCTCTGACAAACAGAGGCCAAGGACACCATTTTATCCCCTGGCTAATAGCCTTTTATGGACCTAACCTCCATGAATTTATCCAGCTTCTCTTTAAACTCTATTATAGTCCTAGCCTTCACAGCCTCCTCTGGCAAGGAGTTCCACAGGTTGACAACACGCTGTGTGAAGAAGAACTTCCTTTTATTAGTTTTAAACCTGCTACCCATTAATTTCATTTGGTGTCCTCTAGTTCTTCTATTATGGGAACTAATAAATAACTTTTCTTTATCAGCCCTCTCCACACCACTCATGATTTTATAGACCTCTATCATATCCCCCCTCAGTCTCCTCTTTTCTAAACTGAAAAGTCCCAGTCGCTTTAACCTCTCCTCATATGGGACCCGTTCCAAACCCCTAATCATTTTAGTTGCCCTTTTCTGAACCCTTTCCAAGGCCAAAATATCTTTTTTGAGGTGAGGAGACCACATCTGTACACAGTATTCAAGATGTGGGCGTACCATAGTTTTATACAGGGGCAGTAAGATATTCTGGGTCTTATTTTCTATCCCTTTCCTAATAATTCCTAGCATCCTATTTGCCTTTTTGACCGCCGCTGCACTCTGTGTGGAAGTTTTCAGAGAACTGTCCACGATAACTCCAAGATCTCTTTCCTGATTTGTCGTAGCCAAATTAGCCCCCATCATACTGTACGTATAGTTGGGGTTATTTTTCCCGATGTGCATTACTTTACACTTATCCACATTAAATTTCATTTGCCATTTTGTTGCCCAATCACTCAGTTTGGTGAGATCTTCTTGGAGTCCCCGCTGCTGCACACTGCGTGGAAGTTTTCAGAGAACTGTCCATGATAACTCCAAGATCTCTTTCCTGATTTGTCGTAGCCAAATTAGCCCCCAACATACTGTATGTATAGTTGTGGTTATTTTTCCCGATGTGCATTACTTTACACTTATCCACATTAAATTTCATTTGCCATTTTGTTGCCCAATCACTCAGTTTGGTGAGATCTTCTTGGAGTCCCTCACAGTCTGCTTCTGCCTTGACTATCCTAAACAGTTTGGTATCATCTGCAAGTAGTTTCATATCATCTGCAAACTTTGCTAACTCCAAATTTACCCCTTTTTCCAGATCATTTAGGAATAGTGTTGAAAAAGACTTATCCCAGAACAGACCCCTCAAGTATGCCACTATTCACCTCTCTCTCTCTTTCTCTCTCCTGAAAACTGACTATTTTTATCTACCCTTTGTTTCCTATATTTTACCAATCTACAAGAGGACCTCGCAGTTTACCTTACTAAAAAGCCTTTACTGAGAGACTGTGTCAAAGGCTTTCTGAAAAACTAAGTACATTATATCCACTGGATCACCTTTTGTCCACATGCTTGTTGACCCCCTCAAAGAATTCCAGAAGACTGGTGAATCATGATTTTCCTTTACAAAAACCATGTTGATTCTTTCCCAACAAATTATGTTAACCTACGTATCTGGCCATTCTGTTCCTTACTATAGTTTCAACCAGTTTGCCCAGTACTGAAGTTAGACTTACCAGACTGTCTGGATCACCTCTGGAGCCCTTTTTAAAAATTGGCATCACATTAGCTAATCTCCAGTCATTGAGTACAGAAATGGATTCAAATGATAGGTTATAGACTACTGTTGATAGTTCTGCAATTTCACATTTGAGTTTTCAGAATTCTTGGGTAAATACTCCTTGAAGCTAAGGGATTTTTACCATTCCCAGGACTCTCAATAGTAGTTTCTCTACAGCTTGTATAGTAGAATTATTCTCTCCTTGCTTTATCATCTATTCCCCACTGTAAACATTCTACACCTTATTTGCCTTCCTTATGGCTCTCAGGCACTGTGTTCCAATGTTTTCACATTCATTTACTAGCACTAATGCATTTGAATGGAGTGTGGTTTGTGGAAAAGACTACCTTAAAAATTAAAGCTACAACATTCCAATTCTAGAAACGGAGGATGGGCTTGTCACTGTAAGTATGATTAAATTAAATAATGGGCCTCTGAAATATTGTGGAAATTTTATTCCAGAAGATTAGTAATCAGAATATACTTTGAGAAGCTGGGGTTCTGCAGGAAAATTGAACAGACAAGTTGAACCAGAACATGTAAAATATTTGTAAATCTTTACCAATGATTTTTTCAGACGCTCATATTCTGGACGATACTCCCTGAAAAGAGAAACATTTTGAACATTTACTTATAAACAATATCTACCCGTTACTTAAACCTCTGAGCATATTTCCATAACTCCAACAATTAAGACATTTAACATTATAGCTACATCTAGAATGCAGCCTGAATTTTCAATTACCCACAATAAAACCAGAAACTGAGTGTACAATGGCACCTTATTCCAGAAAGATTTTTTTCAAAAAACATAGGACCAATACATGGGCTGTCCCTCTTCACCCAGAAGATGAGAAAATAAGGACAACGACAAAAACTGCAGCTTTCTCTCACAGAGGCAAGCCGGCAGAGATTCAACTCAGAGATGACTGAGATAAGGCTACTATAGTGAGGTAAACTGCCAGAATTAGTGAGGATGACATTGTGCACAGTGTTGGAGTAGCCATGTCGGTTCCAGGATATTAGAGAACAATGTGAGTGAGGAAATACCTTTTATTGGATCAATTCTGATGGTGAGACAGAAGTTTTTGAACAACAGAGCTCTTCTACAAGTCAGGGAAAGTTACTGGGAGCGTCACAGCTAAATACAAAGTCAAATAGATCATTTAGCATAAGCAATTACTGCCTATTATAAGGGAGGGGTGGGTACTAAATTTGGACCCCAGACAGTCCCAGAAGGAGCAGGGCCTCAGGTGGAAGGGGCAAGGCCAGGACACTTCTGTTCTTCCCCACCCACAGACTGACTGGTCTGTGGGCAGGGGAGCATGGGAAGTCTTTGCCCCCACCTCTCCTGGTGGTGGGAGATGACTTTGTGCACACCCCTACTGCCCCCAGAGGGATCAATCAGCACCTGGGGGCGGGGGAAGCATGAGAAGTCTGCCCTGCCCTGCAAGGGAGCACTGTGCTTAGTCACCCACCAGCTGAGCAGCAGCTAGCAGTTGACTAAGTGCAGAACCCCTTCCAGGACAGAAGGAAATTTCATGAGCTCTCCCCCGACCAATCAGGGCCAGGGGGCGAGGGGACTATACAAAGTCTCCTCCCACCCTGCCCCCATCCTGCAAGTAACACATAGCACTTCTAAGCACCGCACACTCCTTGCAGGGCAGGGCAGGGCAGGGCAGGGCAGGAGACTTCTTGTGCTTCTCCCAGTGCCCAGGCCCCGACTGGCCTGGGAAGCGGG